ACAGTGGTATCAGAGCTGGTCGGAGGAGTCTACGCGCGCGACAAAGAGCACGCATGATGACTTCAAGCGAGGCCTCCCGCACTTCCTTGGATGGTGTCGTTGTAAATTCCGGCGAACCCTGGGCAACCGCGACGATGTTCGACACGTCGGCGGTACCGATTTTCACGGGACAAAACTACTCCGCGTGGAAGTTTAAGTTCCAAGTGCTCATGATGGAGCGGGGACTTTGGGGTTTCTTCGATGGAACGGAGAAGAAGCCGGACGATGAGAGCGGCATCGCGGCATGGAAGAAGAAGGACCAAAAGGCGTTCGCTACGTTGATTTCGCGCATCGGCATCAATCTCGTGAGCTCGGTGCGCATGTGCATCAAGCTCGAAGCGTCGGCGCATGAAGCGTGGAAGCGGCTCGAGACCATCCACGTGAACAAGACTCTCCACGGCAAGATCCTAGCCCGGAATGCGTTCTACACGGTGAAGATGCGCGCGGGCGAATCGATGCACGAGTTTGCGACTCGTGTGGAGGAACTCGGGGAAACGTTCATGGACCTCGGTGGAACGGTCACGGAGGAGGATTGGATTCTCACCTTGCTTTGCGGCCTTCCGGAAGAGTGGTCGACGGTGATTACGACACTCGATAGCGTGCAACACACTTGGACGAAGGAAATGGTGGTTGGTCGGCTTCTCCATGAAGAATCGCGTCGCCGACGATTCGCTAATGAGAGCGAGGGTGCCGCCATGTACTCCGGAGGGAGTTCCGGAAAGAAGTCCAAGTGGAGCAAGGACGCAACGAAGGAATCGTCCGGTGGGAGCGAGCATCGCGGCAAGTGTCACTATTGCCGCAAACCGGGACACTTTTGGCGTGAGTGTCGAAAGCGGCCGAGCGATTGGACTCCATCGATGGCGCGGGACCAAGAGGGCAACGCGCACACGGCATCCGACGAGGCCGATGATTCAAAGGAGTCGCTCGTGTTAGTGGCCGGCAACGGGAACAAAACTCCAAGCGACGCGTGGTTCCTCGATACCGGCGCAACGCAACACATGACGCACTCGGCGTCGCTCCTCAACAACATTGGCGCTCCGGGAGACGTCACGAGCATCGTGTTCGAAAACAACGAATCGCTACCGGTGGTCGGAGTTGGGAGTACGCGCCTCATCGTCGATAGCGGTCCGGTGGACGTGACGAACGTGTTTCACGTCCCTGGGTGAAGGTGAACCTTCTATCCGTCCCGCAACTTGCGAAGAAGGGAGTGATCGCCACGATCGACGGTGCGAAAATGAACCTCTTTTGGAAGGGGGAGCAATTCGCGCAAGGTGTTCTCAACGGAGATATCTACCAACTCAAGACGTACCCGAGAGCGGCTTCATCCAACGTGGCGCAAGGCTCCAAGGCGACTCTCAAGGCGTGGCATAATCGGCTTGCGCACGCCAACTACGACTCGGTCAAGGAGTTGGCCAACAAAGGACTTGCGAAGGGAGTCGACGTGATCGCCGGCGACAACGAGAAGGGCGTGTGCGCGGCGTGTGTCGAAGGAAAAATGGCTCGCAAGCCATTCGGTAGCCGAACGCCACCCCTCGCTAAGGACCCGCTTGCACTTGTTCACATGGACGTGTGTGGACCGATGCGGCATGCATCAAAGGGAGGAGCGCGGTTCCTCTTAGTGATGCTCGACGACGCGACGCGGATGTGTTGGACCCGACTTTTGAAGGCTAAGGGAGATGCGGTCAAGGCGATTCAAGAGTGGGCGCTCAAAGTTTGCGACGATGACAAGAAGCGGATCAAGTGTATTCGCACCGATGGTGGTGGCGAATTCGTGAATGCGGAGCTCGAGAAATGGATGAAGTGCAAGGGCATTAAGCACGACGTCACAACACCCTACACACCCCAACAAAATGGAGCGGCGGAGCGGCTTAATCGCACGTTGGTGGAAGCCGTTCGTTCTCTTCTTCAACACTCCAAGCTTGGGAAAGAGTGGTGGGGCGAGGCGAGTTCGCTAGCGGCGTGGATTCGCAACCGTTTGCCGACGAAGGTGCTCCCGGGAATGACTCCGTTCGAAGCATGGACCGGAACGAAGCCGAACCTATCCCGCCTTCGCACCTTTGGGTGCCTTTGCTACTACCATGCACCGGATCCCCTTCGCCACAAGTTGCAACCGAAGGCTCGTGCGGCGATCTACTTGGGAATTGCGGCGAACGAGCGTGCGTGGCGAGTGTGGGACTTGGGCGACAAGTGCGTCGTCACGTCTCGGGACGTGGTCTTCGATGAAGACAAGTTCCCGTCGAAGGAGAAACCCACTCAACAACTCACCTTCATCCTTCCGACACGAGAGGAGGTTGAAGAGAGTGAGACTCCACCTCAAGTGGAGAAGGAAGCCGATGGAGGGGGAGCGAACAACGAGGAGAGCATTGATGATGTCGTGGAGGTGTCACCAACCGAGGCGGCAACTACCTCCACACCTTCCTCCCTACCATTGGCCTTGACCCGCGAGCGTCGTGAGGTTCGTCCTCCCTCCAAGTACAACGACTACGCTACGGTAGCCGTTGGGGAGACGGATAAGGAGGGCGCGGCGTTTTGCTTCGCAACCAAGGGTGATGATGAACACGCGAAATCTCTCATGGAACCACCCCCTAAAGATTCATCCCGTGCATGCTATGAGCATGTTGGTTTGCACACCTAGTGGGTTGGGTGCAAGGGGGAGTGTTGGAGATTACGTGTGTTGGAAGCAAGGTGGTGGTGGGGCGTTTGTATGCCCCCAACCCACCGAATGTGTGACTTGTGCTCACCTTCGAGTGAGTTGCAGGTTTGCGTGGGGTTGAGGATTGACTTCGGAAGACCCATTCGATTCGGTGCCACATGGCAGCACCAGGAACATTCGAGACCCAAGGAGAATTCGGATCGGTGAAATTCGAGAGTCGAATTTCACCCTTTCGATGTTACTCGAACATTCGCGAGTGTAGCGGTTCGAGGTTACTTGTGCGATTCGATCTTGTTTGCATGCTATAAATCTGTTTTCTTTGTATTGCATGCCATCATAGTGAAACTCTGAGTTCTTTGTACAAGGTACATTCGAACACAAATTCCAGAGAGCTTCTTTACTTGCATTCAAGAGCACCAGCTAGCACGTGAACGCCTATATCTCGGAGAATACTTAGGCGATCGACGTGTTTGACGGCTCGTTGGAAAGCTAAGACAGAGCTCTATCGTTTAGAACAACTCCCAGTTCCTGCAAAGTAGAGGAGAGTCCTCTACAACACCAACTCCTCTTCACCATTCTCCACCCCTTTCTATCCAGCTGCTAGGGAATCCGAGCAATGGAAATGCTTCTTTCTACAGCACACCCTTCTCGACGTTTCCACTCCAACCTTCCTCTTCCATACCCCCTTCGACTACGCTGCAGCCATGATTGGTAATCTCTTGCCTTTCAATAAGACTTATGCAATATCATGCTTGGACGAGACACTCAAGCCCCAAAAAGACCTCACAGCTTTAGTGAGAAGCGGAACGTGGGGCGCGTTAAGGTGGAGATTTAATTCGTCGTGCTTGAAGGGGGAGCGCGAATCTTTATTGTGGACTGCGTGGACTCTATACGATCAGGTGAAGAAAGGCGGTTGTTGGAAGTTGGACGATCAACCGAAACAACCAATGGGAGTGAGTACAGGAACGATGCAAATACCACCACCACACATTGTTTTCTAGTATGGTTTTATATTTCGGGACACCCTTTTGGAATGCTTTCTCTGAATTGTTCTTTTCACGAACTACTGACTTCGCGTCGCCATTTGCTGCTACTAGCCGCGGATTTGGAGCATACGCTGGAATATAAAAGTTTGGGGACTGAAGAGTACACTGGTGCAACCAGTAAATCAGGCTGACGTTTTTCCCCCGTACCACAACTCACGTTTCACACCATGAATCACAACAGAGAACGCTGATCTCGATCACAAACCATCACCTTGGATTTCACCTGAGCGGCCAGGCTTCTTTTTTCACAGGCGACAAGGCATCCAATAGCTTTGGACATATCGGCGTTTCGCCATCAGCTGGTTACTCACAGACATTCTCGAGAGGCACTGTCTGGTGCTCGTACACAAGCGAGGATTCTGGCGAACTCTGGTGCGAAGTTTGCATGCATGCGACTTGACGACATCTGCTAGGTTGGTGAAATCTCAGGATCCAGGGCACAGGCGAAACGGAATACCTCAGCGGAAACGGGTCGTCAGTCCTGACGACCCTCTGACGACCTGACGACATGCTGCCCCGGGCAGGAAAAAACTAAAACCCTATCGGATGGCATGCCATCCGAGGGAGGCATCAACCCTAAATCCATGCCTCCCCGTGTTTAGGGTTGATGCCTCCCTGACCGGATGCATGCCCTTCTGGGGTTTATTTTTTTAGCGCAAACGGGTCGTCAAGCCTGACGACCTTTTGACGCAATCGGGGCAATAATCCTTATGGCTATCTGTTTTAGCATCTGTTATGGTATATCATTCTGCAGGAATGCAAATCTGCTAGTTGAGAGGATAACAACTACTACTGTAATCATGAATATTACTGCCTAATCTCGAACCTTGTTGTTGACCCAAGCCGCGACCCTTATTAGTAAAACGCGTGCGTGTGATTCGTGATTCGTGAAGACTGTTCAGTTTTAGTCTGTGTGGTTATCGGGCGTAGGTAGTTAGAAAGCTTATCAGGAAAAAAAAAGGGGGTTGTGATGTGATGTGTGCTTCATGCAGTATCTGCATGTTACCTTGATATCTCCGTCAATGTGGCGTTTACAGAGTTCCTCGATAATACCTAGTCACCACTCCACAATGTAGCGTCCTACCTCATCTATCCGCTAAAGTATATTCCGTTAATTCCTTAGAGTGTACATTCGTGCCGCACTGTAGACCGAGGTCGCGGAATGGACACGCAGGGAGTAGGGGAACTGCAGGAATTGCGGGGAGTCGAGGGATCAGAGTGTTTGCAGGAATCGGAGGGATTGCAGGGATCACAGGACCCGCATGACCTACGGGACAGGTTAACGCGTGTCGGCAATGCCGATGGCGAAGGCAGGTTAATGATTGGCAGCAATGCAGATGGCGAGGAGAGGGAGACGGCGATAGCAGAGGCACCTCAGAAGCAACCTAGTCCCAGCCACGCAAGTGATCACGCAAATGACGACGGTATGGAGCGGGGGGAGAGTGTTAAGCAGCACCACGCCTCCACTCCCTCCGCTTCCCCCGCTCCCTCCCCCTCCTCCCCGCCTCACCCCGTCCGCTGGTCCGTTGCGCCGTGCACCCGCGGAGGGCTCGAGGGTCCGCCGCCGCTCGAAATCGCGCCCGCGCCGAGGGAAGCGGAAGGATGGGGGGCCGCGCCGAGTCCGGGGAAGGCGCGGGCGTGGGGGGAGTGGGGGGAGTCCGCGGAGTGGGCGGAGGTAGATCTGCGCGAGATCGCGCTGACCAAGGAGATTGCACGGGGGTCGTCCAGCGTGGTGTACAGAGGCGTGTACCGCAAGCAGAGCGTTGCTGGTGGGTGCAGTGCGGTGAGGAGGGATGGGAGAGAGTACGAATGGGATGGGTGAGAAAGCAGGAGTTCGAGGTTAAGGGGGAGAGGTTATGTAAGACCCCCTTCGACTCCCCGCCCCCCGCTCCTCGCCCCCCGCTCCCCGCTCCCCGGTCCTGCTCCCTGCCTGCCCTCCTCCCCTCATGCTTGCGTTGCAGTGAAGGTGGTTGACCCAGGCAGCGGCGACGGATCATCACTGCACGCAGTGCAGGAGAAAAGGGAAGTCTGGCCTTCTTCTCCCGGCCCTCTCCTCTCATTACCATCCCCTCCACGCCCCCGCCGCCTACCCTCCTTCCCTCGTGCGTGTACCGCAGCGAAGGTGGTTGACCTAGGCAGCGGCGACGAATCATCGCTGGACGCAGTGCAGGAGAGGAGGGCGGCCTTCTGTCCCCAACCCTGCTCTCCTCTCCCCGCTCCCTACTCCCCGCCCCAACCCTACTCTCCCCTCCCCGCTCCCTACTCCCCGCTCCGTGCCCCTTCCCGTGTGTGTCCCTCGCAGTGAAGGTGGTGGACCTAGGCAGCGACGACGGCTCGTCGCTGCACGAGGTGCAGGAGAGGAGGGATGACAGGCCTTCTTCCCCCAATCTTCTCTTCTTCTTTCCCTGCCCTCCTCCTCTCACGCGTCCTTCGCAGTGAAGGTGGTGGACCTAGGCAGCGACGACGGCTCGTCGCTGCACGAGGTGCAGGAGAGGCGGGCGGCGCTTATACGGGAGGTGATTATATGGAGCCGCGTCACGCACCCCCATATAGTGCCGGTGAGTCAGTGTGAGGGTGACATCCCTGTCTGTCTGCCCTTTTGGGCCGGCTTATAAGGAGGGCGGCGCTCATACGGGAGGTGATTATATGGAGCTGCCTCACACACCCCCATAGTGTGCCGGTCAGTGCCAGCCAGGGTGGGATTGTAACGTTAGTGGACTCAACATCCACTCACATATTCTTGAGTCGACTCAAATGTCAGTGTCATGGGGGGAATGGTTTCGTTCTTTGACTCGACGTAATAGTTGAGCACAAATTCTGCAGGTCGTTGTGAGGGTGGGGTTGAATTGAACGAGCATGTGTGTGCGGTGCTATGTGTGTCTATTACATTCTTTCCCTCCTCCCCCTCCCCTCCTCCCAGGTCTTCGACATGCACATCCCCATGCTCCCCCCCTGCAGAAAATGTGTCGTGTGCCATTGTAACGAGGTGACTTTTGAGTCGACTCAAAAGTTCCCTCCCCTCCTCCCAGGTCATTGACATGCACATCCCCATGCTCTCCCCCTCAATCAATCACCTCTCTCCCCCCCAAAACCCACCTCCCTGTCTCCGGGTCTCCCCACCTCCCCCAGGTGATAGGAGCGCACATCCCGCTGCTGTCCCCCGAGGCCCACCCCTCGCCATCCCCCAGGCCGTCTGGTCAACAGAGGGTGGACTCGCGCCTGCGGGGCGAGCAGGCGTGCGTTGTGAGTGCGCTCATCGGCACGGGCGTGACGCTCAAGGACTATCTCGCCCGCACCGCCAGAGAGAAGCGCAAGCTGCCTCTGCACATGCTGGTGGACCTGGCCATGCAGCTCGCCAAGAGGTGAGGGGGGAAGGGGGGGGGAGGGACAGGGGCTGTTTGTGGTGCACTTGGCCACCTGCATTGGCACGGGCGTGACTCTCAAGGAGTATCCCGCCCGCACTGTCAGGGAGAAGAGGAAACTGCTTCTGCACATGCTTGTTGACTTGGCAATGCAGCTTGCTAAGAGGTGAGGAGAGGTGAGGTGAGGTGAGGTGAGGTGAGAGGGATGTGTGCCCCGACCACGTGCTGCTAGACTCCTCTCTGCGCCTTCACCTCACCCGCCCATCCGTCCCCCACTTTCTCCCCACACGGCCCCCTCCCAGTCTCGCCTTCCTGCATTCGCTGCGAGTGGTGCATGGCGACGTGTGCCCCGACCACGTGCTGCCATCCTCACACACACTCTCTCTGCCGCCTCCCCCCCAACCCCGCTCTCTTCCCCCACCCAGTCTCGCCTTCCTGCACTCGCTGCGAGTGGTGCATGGCGACGTGTGCCCCGACCACGTGCTGCTAGACTCCTCTCTGCGCCTTCACCTCGCGGGCTTCTCCTGTGCTTCTATCGAGGGCGACCTTGCACACAGTCACGCGGGCAGAGGGGAGGAGCGAGGCAACCCGAACTACATGGCTCCTGAGGTGAGCTGGACGGAGTGTGGTGCATGGTGAGCTGGACGGAGTGGGGTGCATGGTGAGCTGGACGGAGTGGGGTGCATGGTGAGCTGGACGGAGTGGGGTGCATGGTGAGCTGGACGGAGTGGGGTGCATGGTGAGCTGGACGGAGTGGGGTGCATGGTGAGCTGGACGGAGTGGGGTGCATGGTGAGCTGGACGGAGTGGGGTGCATGGTGAGCTGGACGGAGTGGGGTGCATGGTGAGCTGGACGGAGTGGGGTGCATGGTGAGCTGGACGGAGTGGGGTGCATGGTGAGCTGGACGGAGTGGGGTGCATGGTGAGCTGGACGGAGTGGGGTGCATGGTGAGCTGGACGGAGTGGGGTGCATGGTGAGCTGGACGGAGTGGGGTGCATGGTGAGCTGGACGGAGTGGGGTGCATGGTGAGCTGGACGGAGTGGGGTGCATGGTGAGCTGGACGGAGTGGGGTGCATGGTGAGCTGGACGGAGTGGGGTGCATGGTGAGCTGGACGGAGTGGGGTGCATGGTGAGCTGGACGGAGTGGGGTGCATGGTGAGCTGGACGGAGTGGGGTGCATGGTGAGCTGGACGGAGTGGGGTGCATGGTGAGCTGGACGGAGTGGGGTGCATGGTGAGCTGGACGGAGTGGGGTGCATGGTGAGCTGGACGGAGTGGGGTGCATGGTGAGCTGGACGGAGTGGGGTGCATGGTGAGCTGGACGGAGTGGGGTGCATGGTGAGCTGGACGGAGTGGGGTGCATGGTGAATGCTTGTGCACCTCACGTGCGCCTGCACCTTGCGGGCTTCTCCTGTGCTTCTATCGAGGGCGACCTTGCACACAGTCACGCGGGCAGAGGGGAGGGGCGAGGCAACCCGAACTACATGGCTCCTGAGGTGAGCTGGGTGGGTCGTAAAAGAGTGAGGTGCGTGGTGAATGCATGTGAACTCCTTACGCCTGCACCTCACAGGCATATCTTCGCCTGTTCGTCTATCGAGGGCGACCTTGCATACAGTCACGCCGGTAGAGGGGAGGAGCGAGTCAACCCAAGCTACATGGCTCCTGAGGCGAGCGGGGCTGAGGCGAGCGGGACTGAGGCGAGCGGGGCTGAGGCGAGCGGGGCTGAGGCGAGCGGGGCTGAGGCGAGCGGGACTGAGGCGAGCGGGACTGAGGCGAGCGGGACTGAGGCCAGGCAGACGTGTTCAGCTGTGGCATGTGCCTGTGGGCCATGCTCTCCTGTCACCCATTCCCAACCCTCCCAACCTCTTCTCCTCTCTCCCTTCCCCTCCGGTCCCTCCCCACCTCCCTCTCCCCCCCCCCATCAGGTGCTCAACTCCCTCCCGTACGACCGCCAGGCAGATGTGTTCAGCTTCGGCATGTGCCTGTGGGCCATGCTCTTTGGTCGCCCACCCTCCCCACCCTCCCCTGCCTCCCCCTCCCCTCCCCACCCCCACCAGGTGCTAAAATCCCTGCCATACGACCGCCAGGCGGACGTCTTCAGCTTTGGCATGTGCCTGTGGGCCATGCTCTCCTGTCACCCAACCTTCCCATCCTTCCTGTGCTCCACTCCCTCCCCTTCCCCCCCCCCTATCATTCCCCCTCCCCCTTTCCCTGCGTCTCTTACCCCTCGCCCCATCACCTTCGCCCCTCTCCACACACCTCCTTATTCCTCCCTCCCTCGCCTCCTTCTCTATCAGGTGCTCAACTCCCTCCCGTACGACCGCCAGGCGGACGTGTTCAGCTTTGGCATGTGCCTGTGGGCCATGCTCTCCTGTGAGCTGCCCTTCCCCAAGTGTGACTACAACGAGATCTCCGACCTTCTGCAACAGGTATGGAATGAAAGGTGACTAAAACGAGATTTCCGACCTTTTGCAGCAGGTGTGGGAAGGAAGGTGACTATATCGAGATCTAAGAGGTTCGAAAGAGCCATGGTTCCATTTGATTGGCTTGCGATTGTATTCCAATTCCCCTTTAACTGTTTACCTTCATTCCTCCCCTTCCATGTCCCATAAGTTCCCCCTAGAATGGCATGGTATGGGATGTAAGAAGGAAGTGACTTTTGAGTCGACTCAAAAGTCACCTAGTATGGCATGGTATGGGATGTAAGAAGGAACCTGTCTTCTTCAACGTCCTTCCCCCCTTTTCTTCCCTTCCCTATCCAATCCCCCAGGGCGTGCGCCCCATCCTCCCCCCCAAGTGCCCCCCCGACTTGGCACATGTGCTGCGCTGCTGCTGGGAGGGCGACCCTGCTGCCCGCCCCTCCATGCCGCAAGTCACCGCCCTGCTCCGTTCAGTCAACGTCTTTACCACCCACCACCAGGACGGTGCACCCACAGTTGCCCCGAGGGGTGCGTCTGTGGGTGCACCCAGAGATGCCCACGCCACGAGGGGAGAGGCTGCAGTGCAGCATGCACGGAGTGACGACCAGGTGCAAAGAGGAGGGGCCAAGCCGTCGCTCCTCTCCTCCCTGGGCTCCTCCCTTGGCCGCTTCAGCTTCACACGCGGTAGATTTGCGCAGTTGAATTTTCCACCAGCATTTTCATATTCATCACCATCAGCGTCACCATCACCATCACCACCACCATCGGCAGCATCGCCATTGCCACTACCAGTGTCAGCTTCCGAATCTGCTGCTGTCTCAGTCGCACGTGCGGCATCAGCAGCAGTGGCGCCGGCAGCAGTAGTGGCAACACCAGCTGCTGCTGTGGCAGCGCCGAGAGAGGAAGAGGCGGTGAGAGAACCAGGGAGCGGGCTGGCGTGTGCTACAAGCAATCACCACCATCCCTCTGGAGATACTGTGGGGCAAATAGAGGCAAGGGGCGTCAATGAAGGGCGTGCAGGCGGCAGCAAAGACATGCGGCAACAACTAGACTCCCCTCACTCTCCCTCCTCTGAGCCCACCGCCACTTCTCCCCACCTAAACGCTCCCACTCCCCCTCCCACTCCCCCTCTCCCTCCCCCTCTCCCTCTCGTACCGACCTCCCTTCTCCCAAACGATTCGCCCTCTCCTCTTCCTCATGCACTCCCCTCCCACGCTATCCACCCCGCCTCCCTGCCTTCCCCTCCCTCCTCCCCTCTGCACTCCTCCCTCCCGCCCCCCTCTCCACACCCTTCCCCCCCCTCTCGCTCCTCTCATCCCTCCCCTTCCCCTTCCTCCTTCCCCCCATCCTCGCCCTCCGCTGCTGCTACTGCCAGCCCATCCGTATCAGCAGCAGCAGCCACAGGTGCTGCTGCTATCAGTACAGGAGGTGGGGTCAGACTCAGAGGGTATACAACAGCTGGCCAGGTGGCTGGTGCTAGCCCTGCTGCTGCTGCTGCCGCCGCTGCCACTGCGACTGCAAATCCCGAGGCGAACCCCGAGGCTAGTGCAGGTTCTAGTCCCGAGGCTAGCACCGGAGCTAGCACCGGGTGCGTGGGATGGGAAGCGCAATCCGCAGCAGATAGCATCAGCCCTGTTGGCAGTGCTCGCAGCACCGGGTGGGAGGCAGGGGGGATAACCGCGCCTGGGAATGCCAGCCCTGCAGGAAGCATGGGGAGCATGGGGAGTATGAGGAGTGTGGGGTGGGAGGGGGAGCTCTTGTCTCCTGCGTGGAGTGGGGAGGCGGGGCAGGCGTGGGTGGGGGAGCGGCCGGTGTGGGAGATCAAGCTGAGGAACGTTGTTTTAAAGAAAGAGATTGCTAAAGGGTCGTCTGGGACTGTGTACAAGGGAAAATACAAGGACTGCCCCGTTGCAGGTATGAGCTGCCTCACATCCACCATGTCAGTATGAGTATGTGCGCCCTCTCATCTCATCATAGCCCTATGAGATTGCTAGAGGGTCGTCTGGGACTGTGTACAAGGCCAAATACAAGGACTGCCCCGTTGCAGGTATGAGCTGCCTCACATCCACCATCTCAGTATGAGTATGTGCGCCCTCTCATCTCATCATAGCCCTATGAGATTGCTAGAGGGTCGTCTGGGACTGTGTACAAGGGCAAATACAAGGACTGCTCCGTTGCAGGTATGAGCTGCCCCATTGCAGGTATGAGCTGCCCCGGTGCAGGTATGAGCTGCCCCGGTGCAGGTATGAGCTGCCCCATTGCAGGTATGAGCTGTCTGTCCCTCTCACCCTCTGATCGCCAAAGGGTCGTCTAGGACTGGGTACAAGGGCGAATACAAGGAAACTGCCCGGTTGCAGGTATGAGCTGTCTGTCCCTCTCACCCTCTGATCGCCAAAGGGTCGTCTAGGACTGGGTACAAGGGCGAATACAAGGAGACTGCCCGGTTGCAGGTATGGCCTTTCTGTCTGTCCCTCCCACCACCAACTTCTGTGTATCATCCGTCTCAGCACCACTCAATAAGTTCGTTCAAAATGCGTGTGGGACTGTAAACAAGGGCAAAGTAAAGGACTGCACCGTTGCGCCGGCAGGTGCAGTGCAGTCCCAGCTGCAGGCCGAAGTTGTCTCACAATCACCTTTTGCAATATGAATGCTATGAATGCTCTCATATTTACCATTTGGGTACAGTCCACCCCCTCCCGTTCCTCCCTCGTGCTCACCACACTCACTCACTTGCAGCACCATTTAATGCGAGGGAGTGGTACATGGGAGTGGTACATGGGAGTGGTACATGGGAGTGGTACATGGGAGTGGTACATGGGAGTGTTAAACGAGTCGTCTTGTTGCCTTTTCCTTCTCCCTATCCCTTCGTTGCACTCCCCTGGACATCACACTCCCCTGCACATCACACTCACCTGCACGCACCTCCAGTGCGCGTGGTGCCTTGGAGTGAAGTGGAAGGCGAGATGTCCGAGGGGGAGCAGTGGGAGCAGAGGAGGGCCAAGTTCCTAAGGGAAGTGACTATATGGAGACGACTCAAACACCCCAATATAGTCAAGGTGAGATCTAAGCCATCGTTAAACTCGTCTCATTTGAGGCACCTCAAAACCCCGAGCAGAGGAGGGCCAAACTCTTAAACGGAAGTGATTATATGGATAAGACTGAAACACCCCAGTATATTCAAGTTCAGGTCTCAGATTCCTTGACTAGAGAGAGGCAGACAACCTCTCATCTACTCTTGTCGCGCCGTTCCATTTTTCGCGACATTCCACCTGCTTTTGTGGATCTCCCTTCCTTTTTTCTTTTAGAAAGTCCACGTGAGCTCAGGTAAGTTTGTCTGCTTGCACAATGGTGAAAGTCTATCTCTCGCCTCACATTCACCCCTCCCGTTGTTCGGTCCCTTCATCCCCCTGTTCCTTCCCTTCACTCCATCCGAGCATGCACACCAGAAACATCCGCAAATGGCTGTAAAAGTCGTCTATCCCTCCCCTCCCCCTATTCCTTCCCTTCAGTTCATTGGGGCATCTATCCCCGAGCACCCTCAACTACCGTCCAACCCCACTAGCACTGTCAGCACTGCCAGCAGCAGCACTGCCAGCACTAACAATGGCAGAGACGACAAAAAGGACAAGGAAAAGGGGGCAGACTTGCGGTTCAAGGGGCATGCGTTCTGTGTGGTGATGGAGCATGTGGAGCACTGTAGCCTCAAGGAATATCTTTTCCAGGCAGCCCGAGAACGGAGGAAGCTGCCGATGCCGTTCATTGTGCAAGTGGCATTTGATCTCGCCAAGGGGTGAGTGAGCGAGTGAGGGAGGGAGTGAGTGAGTGAGTGAGTGAGTGAGTGAGTGAGTGAGTGAGTGGGTGAGCGATTACCCGGTTCTTATGTGTACGTAAGTATAAGACCACTCACAACTCCTAACCCTGTTCCCCCAGCATCCCATCTCGCTCTCCCCGTCGCACTGTGTGCCAGCCAGACTAGCAAAGCTGCACTCCATGGGGTGGTGCAGGGGGGCGTGTGTTCTTGGAACGATTCACAACTCCTCCCTCACTCCCTTACTCCCCTCGCCCCTGCCTGCCCCCTCCCCCCCTGCCAGCCTGGCGTATCTGCATTCCATGGGCGTGGTGCACGGCGACATTCGTTCGTGAAACTGCTCACGACTCCTTCCACTCTCCTCGTCCCCCCACTCCTCCTCGCCCCCTCGGCCCCTCGCCCCTGCGGCCCCCTTTTCTCTGCCAGCCTGGCGTATCTGCACTCCATGGGCGTGGTGCACGGCGACATTTGTCCCGAGAACCTGCTTCTGGACGGCAAGCGCCGCCTCAAGATCGCAAGATTCGGGGCGGCACGTGTGGAGTCCTCCCACCCAGTCAGCACCGCCACTGGCAGCTGCCGTCGCACCCTCAGCTACAGCGCGCCAGAGGTAATACCTCTCCCACACCCCCTTCCCCCACTTCTCCCCATGGATCGCACTCCCCTCAGGTCCTCAGCTTTGGCTGCTGTATTCTTCTCCTCTTCTGAGCTATGTTCCTCCCCCCCCCTCTCCATCCCTCCTTTATCCCCTCACCACGCTCCCCTAGGTCCTCTTCTCCCAGCCCTACGACCTCTCTCTCCTTCATCCCCCTCTCACCCTACACCCTCCCAGGTGCTCTTCTCCCAGCCTTACGACCGCTCTGCTGACGTCCACAGCTTCGGCATCTGCCTGTGGGAGCTGTACGCTCGGGAGGCGCCGTTCCCGAACCTAGACTTTGGGGAAGTGGCCGATGCTGTCAAGGAGGTAAGGGATGGTAGGACCAATTGGATGGGGAGAGGCAGCGTGGATAGGGATGGGGATGTTGATTATTTTTCTTCTTCCCCTGTGAAGTCTGTATGTTGAGGGTGGGTCATGCTTGCAGCCATGCATATTGCCATCCTTTCCCCCATAGCTTTCCATGAAGCTTCTGGTTTATCAGTGCTAAGTGTGCGACCCCCGTTCCCACTTCCGCCTCGTCCCCCCATCCTGCAGGGCGCACGCCCCATTATTTCCCCCAAGTGCCCCCCTGACTTGGCCAATGTTATGCGCTGCTGCTGGGAGGGTCTCCCTACTGCACGCCCACCAATGCCCCAAGTTCTTGCAATGCTGAAGAAGGTGAATGTCTTTGCAGGTAAATGAAGCATACCTTATATGTATTACCATAGTATTTTCCTGTATGCAGCTGCACATCTCAAAGTAAAAAGCACACATCAAGGTGTGCAGAACATGTAAATAGTTGCATTATGATGCAACTTACAGTCGATTTCTTCATCGTGCTACTAGCGCGAACAGGGAAAATGGCCTCGAGATTTCCGCGTGCTGACCTGACTCCAGCCAGGTGCGGCGCTTTTTCCTCGCTGCGCTGGATGCCAAAGCTGCTTTGGCAAGATGCGTTGTACATGCCTCTTCTCCTGCCCTTCTGTACTGTACCCCCTGAAGATTGGAGGTGCTTTCCACACTGATTGGTGATTGGCTCACCTTCCCGATAGAGCCAGGGCGCGACATTTTAGAGGTCGAACCATCACCCCAAAAAATGCATCGTCTCATGTGTTTCTCCGTTGATCGTCCAGTAGGGTGAACGGCGGTTGTCGTACCCTTTTTAACCGAAGCGCAACGTACAGAACCACGGTATGGATGAATTACCAGGGACGGTTCCACTCATCAGCCTCGCGTTTTCCGAAGCTTCATTAGCCACGCCACCAGTCACTTGGAAATTTGCAAGGTATTCCCTGTGTGCATTCGCTTATGAAACTTGGAAGGCCATGCAAAACTTGGAAAACTTGTGGTTGTTCTTTGGGAAGCTTGACCGTTGCAGCTCAAGTCAGCTATGGCTCTTCAGTACTTATTCCGTGAATCTCGAGCAAAGGATTTCGACGCGTTCCTAAATCCTGAAGTACCTGATTCAATCCTCGCTATAAATTTTCTTTTCCACATTCAAATTTCAAGGGGGTCAAAATAATAGATTCGCCGCCAACCACTACCAAGAGTCTCGAAATCGAGAAGTCTACCCTACTGCAAACGACATGAATGTCCTCCTTGCATAGTACCACCCTCGATTTCGAGCTTCCCTAGGTATTGCCTCGCGACGCAGCTCCCTATAAATCAATCCCCGGGGAGAGTGCGTCTTAGCAGCAGCTGCATAGCGAACGATAACGATATCAATTCACCCACACAGATTCTACCGGAGACCGTCAGACTCGATTTTCCTCATCTGCGACACCTCGATACCTGCACACGTCGGACACACGCGCAAGAATTGAAGCGTCTCTGAACGCCGGCGGACGCGCAAGTTTTGAAAACTCGGAAAACGCGGGCACGCGCACAAGCGATGGCGGAGCTGCACGACGCTTCGTCCCTAAGCGCAGGCCACGCGTTTCGATCGCAACAATCAGAATCAGCGGTTTCCGCTCAACCATCAGACATGGCCACAGGAATCGCAGACTTCGACGGGGAGCTGCTACGAGTGCGAACCGACCCGTCCAATGGAGTCAAAGACGAACCGAGCGAGCGCGACGCTGGGAATTCCTGGCTGGGTAGGTCGTATTCGGTGCAGGTGGGACGCGGCGGTCAGGCAGACTCAGGGGAAGCAGGGGAATCAGGGGAAGCAGGGGGAGCAGGGGGAGCAGGGGAAGCAGGGGGAGCAGGGGGGGCAGGGGGAGGCGCAAGGCGGCGACGTTCGGAGAGCTCTTCCCGGGGGGTGAACATCGCGGCACTGGATAAGGCGCTGGACCGAGTCATGTCCATGCCGTGGCGAGGCGAGAAGAAGGCGGTCGACGGCGACGGAGGCCTGGGACTGGGCGCGGCGTGGCAGGAGAAAGCGGAGAACAACGGGAAGCATGTGCTGGGTAGGGCGCGTTCCCATGGAAACGGGGAGGGGGATTCCGTTCTGCGGACGGCTGCTGCCGCTGCGGCGGCGGTAGCAGCCATCCGCAGTGACAGTGACGCGGTGGCTTTCCCTAATAATGTCACGGGTGTGCCGCTAACCAAGTGCGGTAAGGAAGCGGGCGCGAAGGGCGAGACGAATAAGGAGCGGTGTGCGGAGGTGGAAGTGGGTACGGATGGGCGGCGGGGCGAAGGCGATGCTGCTGTAGCAGGCGATCCCTCGTGGCAGGTTGATTTACGGCGAGTGACTATAAAGAAGGAGATTTGCAGGGGCGCTTACAGCACGGTTTATAAGGGCACGTTCAGGGACACAGATGTTGCAGGTACGCCCTCTTTCTCCTCCCCTCTCTTTTCCCGGTGAACCCCCCGACTCGCCAAGTCACTTCGTCTCGTCCCCCGTCTTTCGCTGCTAGAGATGCGAAGATTTCAGAATTACCTGCTTCTTGCCTGCTCTCCTCGTTCTCGTTCCCTCATCCGTAGCCGCTTTTCCTCACGCCCTCCCTCTCTCCGCCACCCTCTTCCGCGAGTGCGTGCAGTGAAGGCCATCGATTGGGGGGAAGCGGGGTCGTTCTCGCCTGTGCTGCGCGCCAAGCAGAGAGCCACGCTGCTGCGCCAGGTGCACGTGTGGCGGGGCCTCAAGCACCCCTACGTGACGCAGGTGAGGCAGAGTCAACCCGAGAATCAGCTCAGCAGGTACACGTGTGGTGGGGTCTGAAGCAGGGGTCTGGAGCAGGGGTCTGGAGCAGGGGTCTGGAGCAGGGGTCTGGAGCACCCATACTTGACTAAGGTGAGAGCGGCGCACGTGAGAATGGTGAACATTGCTATGAGATGCAGACGAAACAGGGATGACTATGCTGAACAAACAAAAGATGAAACATTGAAATGGCTTACAAAACACAGGCGAAACTGGGGCAATTACATTGAAGCATACATATGAGATGGAAGTAGAACAGGAGCACCCTCCCACGCCCGCCCCTCCCACCCTCCCTGTCCCCACCCCCACTTGCCCCACCCCCATCTGCACATCCAGCTGGTAGCGGCGAGCGTGTCAGCGGACCGTACCCGCTGCGCCACCCCCCTCGGCGTGGACGCGCGTTAAAGGGGTGTGGCAGGGTGCCTTGTGTTGGAATATGCGGGCGGCTGCTTTTGAGTCGACTCAAAAGCTGAGGAGCGTGGCGGGGTGCCTCGTGATGGAATATGTGGGCGACCTGATGCTCAAGGAGTACCTCCCACTCCCTCCTCCCATCCCCACGCTTGCACTTCCAGCTGGTGGCAGCGAGCGTGTCAGCGGACCGTGCGCCCTGCACCACACCCCGTGGCGTGGACGCGCGCCTGAGGAGTGTGGCGGGGTGCCTCATCATGGAATATGTGGGCGACCTGACTCTCAAGGAGTATCTCGCTCGCGCTGCCAGGGAGAGGAGGAAGCTGCCTCTGCATATGGTGGTTGAGCTAGCATTGCAGCTCGCCAAGGGGTGAGTGAGGGCGGGAGGTGTGGGGCGTGGCGGGGTGCCTTGTGATGGAGTTTCTGGGAGGCTTGACCCTATCTCGCCGTGCTGCCAGGGAGTGGCGCAAGCTGCGCTGCACATGCTGGTGGACCTAGCATTGCAGCTCGCTACGGGGTGAGTGAAGGGAGGAGACGGGGAGAAAGGGGACTGTGGTGAAGGTGTGTGTTTCACTTGAGTAAGCCGGTATCCCAGTATCCCGGTATCCCGGCTTCCCGGTTTCCCGGTTTCCCGGTTTCCTGGTATCCCGGTATCCTGGTTTCTCGGTTTCCCGGTTTCCCGGTATCCCGGTTTCCCGGTATCCCAGTTTCCCGGTATCCCGGTTTCCCGGTATCCCGGTATCCCGGTTTCCCGGTATCCCGGTATCCCGGTTTCCCGGTATCTCGGTATCCCGGTTTCCCGGTATCCCGGTATCCCGATGTCCCCGCTTCCCGGTTTCCCGGTATCCTGGTTTCCCGGTATCCCGGTATCCCGGTTTCCCGGTATCCCGGTTTCCCGGTATCCTGGTTTCCCGGTTTCCCGGTATCCCGGTTTCCCGGCATCCCAGTTTCCCGGCATCCCAGTATCCCGGTTTCCCGGTATCCCGGCATCCCGGCATCCCGGTTTCCCGGTATCCCGGTATCCCAGTTTCCCGGTATCCCGGCTTCCCGGCTTCCCGGTTTCCCGGTTTCCCCGTATCCCGGTATCCCGGTATCCCAGTTCCCCAGTTTCCCAGTTTCCCGGTTTCCCGGTTTCCCGGCATCCCGGTTTCCCCGTATCCCGGTGTCCCGGTATCCCGGTTCCCCGGTTTCCTGGTGTCCCGTTTTCCCGGTATCCCGGCTTCCCGGTTTCCCGGTTTCCCGGTATCCCAGTTTCCCGGTATCCCGGCTTCCCGGCTTCCCGGTTTCCCGGTTTCCCCGTATCCCAGTATCCCGGTTTCCCGGTTTCCCGGTTTCCTAGTATCCCGGTTTCCCGGTTTCCCGGTGTCCCGGTTTCCCAATTTCCCGGTTTCCCGGTTTCCCGGTATCCCGGTTTCCCGGTTTCCCGGTGTCCCGGTGTCCCGGTTTCCCAATTTCCCGGTTTCCCGGTTTCCCGGTATCCCGGTATCCCGATTTCCCGGCTTCCCGGTTTCCCGGCTTCCCGGTTTCCCGGTATCCCGGTTTCCCGGTGTCCCGGTATCCCGGTTTCCCGGTGTCCCGGTTTCCCAATTTCCCGGCTTCCTGGTGTCCCGGTATCCCGGTTTCCCGGTTTCCCGGTATCCCGGTTTACCGGTATCCCGGTATCCCGATTTCCCGGCTTCCCGGTTTCCTGGCTTCCCGGTTTCCCGGTTTCCCGGTATCCCGGTTTCCCGATGTCCCGGTATCCCGGTTTCCCGGTGTCCCGGTTTCCCAATTTCCCGGTTTCCCGGTTTCCCGGTATCCCGGTTTCCCGGTTTCCCGGTGTCCCGGTGTCCCGGTTTCCCGGTTTCCCAATTTCCCGGTATCCCAGTTTCCCGGTTTCCCGGTTTCCCGGCCTTCATACACAGCAGCGGCATGGTGCACGGGGACGTGTGCTTCGACAACCTGCTGCTTATTCCATTTACCACCTATTCACCCCTAGCCCCACGTACAAACCCTTCCTTCCTCCTCCTATCCCCCCTTCAGTGTGGCCTACATCCACAGCAGCGGCGTGGTGCACGGGGACGTGTGCCCGGACAACCTGCTCCTCATGCCCTTTCCCTTGTTCACCCGGACCCCCACACCAACAACCACAACCCCAACCCCTTTCCCCTCCCCAGTCTGGCCTACATCCACAGCAGCGGCGTGGTGCACGGGGACGTGTGCCCCGACAATCTCCTCCTCACGGATCGCAGGCGCCTCAAGATCGCCGGCTTTGGCGTCGCCCGCTTCGAGGCCGACTGCCAGGCTCGTGGGCGTGCAGGCGCTCAGTGCGCGGACAGCTGCGGAACTGCTCAAGAAGCAACTGGGGTCGCTGGGAGCGAGGCAGGGGCAGGGGCAGGGGCGGGGGCGGGGAGAAGGGCGGGTGTGGATGAAGCTGCACAGCAGAAAAGTGAGGTGCGGGCAGTGGAGGTATTGAGGGAGCCGCAGGGTGTGGTTCGAGATGGGGAAGCGGAGGAGAGGCGTGGGGTAGGGCTGGATGTGGAGGTCGGCGGGAGAGGAGAGGTGGGAGATGCAAGAGGAGGGGCAGAGGAGGGTGTGCCGGTTGGGGATGGGGAAGGAGGGGAGGCAGTCACGGCGCAGCAGGGGGACGGGTGGTTGCCTCATGACGCCAGTGGGGAGACGGGTTCAGTGGGATACATGGCTCCTGAGGTGCGTTGCTTCCGTGTGTTGATAACCGGTGCGGAGGGTTTAGATTGCCAAATTGGTGCCTCACGAGGCCAGTGGGGAGACGGGGTCCGTGGGGTACATGGCTCCTGAGGTGCGTTGCGCTCCTTGCATGCAATGCTAACAGCTAGAGGCATGGAAATGCGCGCGGATACCGCTGTGCTGACAGTATCTGATTCGCCACAGGCCTGTGGGAGGTACTGACCTCTGCGGCCTGTGTGCTGTCTCACTAACTGTCTAATCCTCCCAGGCAACCCTTTCTTCCCTCTAAAGGCAACCCTTTCTTCCTGCGTTCCCTCCCGCCCGCAGGTGCTAGCTGGGCTGCCATACGACCGCCGTGCTGACGTGTACAGCTTTGGCATCTGCCTGTGGGAGCTGCTGACCTGCGAGACTCCGTTTGACTCGTTTGACTTCAGCGAAATGGCCTCGGCAATCAGTGAGGTGAGTATTTCTGTGCTGTTCGCATGAGGCATGAGACATCGCACCTTGTACAAGAGTGTGATGTGCACACGGCACATTTCAAACTGCACACGGCACATGGTACACGACCCATCACGCATCACCAAGAGCACATGGCACATCATTCCCGTCTTCGCAATACTATTCTCTCACCTCCTCCGTTGTTAATTTCCTCAACTCCTCCCTCTCCACCATTCCCCGGGGCTTGTGCTTCACCTTTCCCTCAAAGTGCCCCCAAGGGGAGCCAGGACGGAGTCTTGTTGTTCACTCCCCCCCCCCTTGGCTTCCCCACACCAATCCTCCATGGCTTGTGCCCCATCATCCTCCCCTCCTTTCCCCCACCTTGCCCTGATGTGGCGTGTGTCATGTGCTGTTGGGAAAGTCCTTGGTTTCTTCCTTCCTCCCGTTCGTTCTCCCCTCCTCCCCACCTCCCCGTCCCATTGTGCCAGGGTGTGCGCCCCATTCTGCCAGGGCGTGCGCCCCATCTTGCCCCACAAGTGCCCACCTGACTTGGCGCGAGTCATTCTGTGCTGCTGGGAGGGCCCTTGTTCACTTCCCCCTCTTCCCCTCTTCCCCACCTTCCCCGCTTCCTCCCCTTCCTCCCCCCATCCCATCCTGCCAGGGCGTGCGCCCCATCTTGCCCCACGAGTGCCCTCCTGACTCGGCACACGTCATGCCCGTGCTGCTGGGAGGGCTCCTCTGCTCACCTTTCACACCCTCCCTACTCCCCTCCTGTCCCCCCACCACCATCCCATCCCACCCTGCCAGGGCGTGCGCCCCATCCTGCCACACAAGTGCCCTCCTGACATCGCACGAGTCATGCGCTGCTGCTGGGAGGGCTCCTCTGCTATGCGCCCCTCCATGCCGCAAGTCATTGCCATGCTTGAGAGGGTTAATGTGTTCAGCGGGAAAGAGATTCCAGTGCACAACATCTGATCTGAGCCGCTTTTGAGAGGTCTTATACACTCAAATGCCCCTCCATGCCGCAAGCAAGTCTTTGCCGTGCCGTGCACGACATTTGAGCCACTTTTGAAAGGTGCACAAGATGTGAGTTGCTTTTGAAAGGCGCACAACATTTGAGTTGCTTTGGGGAAGGCTAGAATGCCCCTCCATGCCGCAAGTCATAGCCATGCTTGACAAGGTCAATGTGTTCAGCGGGAAAGAGATTCCAGTGCACAACATCTGAGCGGCTCTTGAGAAGTCTTGAAGTCGCTGCTTCTCGAATGTGTTCATTGGAAAATAGGCCCTGTGCACAGCATTTAGCAGTTACACCCTGCATGGGCTATAATATACACGATTTGTTTGTGTTCTAACAGATATAGCAGCTATGATGATGCTTTCTTGGTGTTAATGTATCTCTAATTCGGCATTGTGCTTAACCAAGTAATTGACATGCAAAACATGTGAGTTAGAGTCAACCTAAAAGGCTATTCAAACACAAACATGCCCTTTCTCCTACTAAAACCATACCACTTCTCGAACAACCTACTCAGCTTCACCCCGTTCACACTTCTAAGGAACCAAGCAACACTAAACAGTGTAGTGTGCACCGATCTAGGTGCCAGAAACACTCCCAAATTCCTGTTACGACGCGCCGCCACCGCCAAACGGTTATACACAGTATAACCGACCGAAAAAACAGCATCCAGCTCTTGTCGCGAGCAGAAATTCTGCCTCCACCTCACGTTATCCCAAGTGCGATCCCGTGCCAGTACACTCGCTCTTTGCCGTAAAATCTGCCCGTCGAGGCACTTTGCCGAGTACACTAGATCCTCGCTAGGGAGCTGCTGCTCGTACTGTATAAAGCGCCAGTCGAAGAAGGAATGGAAGAGGAAGAGGGGCGTGGTGACCCGGGCTAGGGTGTGTTCTGGGAAGAAGCAGACCCAGTTGCCCCTCGCTTGTGCTCCTGAGGGAGGGGCGTGGGGAGGGAGGAGAGGGTGGGCGAGGGGGGGTGCAGTGTAGGGGAGCAATATTATGACTCCCTGTTCTGGGAAGAAGCAGACCCACTTGTCCCTCACTTGTGCTCCTGAGGGAGGCAGGAGCAGGGGGCGAGGAGGGGAAATGGGGAAATGGGGTGTAAGGAAGCAAGATGATGACTCAGTGTTTGGAGGAGAGACAAAGGAAGCCTGGTGTTGCTTCAGAAGAGGCAAAGGAGGGAGGCTTACTGAGACGCTTACTGAGATGCTTACTGATATGACAGAGGAATGCTTACGGAGAAATGCCTTCTCTTATGGAAGAGCAGGAGGAGGCTACAAGGGATGGGGCAACTCAACAACCACCCACCCACCCATCACAACGAACACATGTTGTTTTCATATGTTTGCACCTGGTGGTGGGATACCCGGTAAGTACTATTCTCATGTTGTGCTCACCTGACGGGCATTTGGGGACTTCAATGAGGTGCAGAGCGGTGACCTGCCGAATATTTTCCCGCCATGAGTACACCCCAAAGCGGTCCTTAGCGTCTGGAAAGAGGGAAGGGTGGGTGGAAGGAATAATCAGGAAGGGGTGGGTGGGAGAAATTATCCTGTCTAAATGTTACTCACTCTAATAATTTGACACTGCTTGAGAGTAGACTGAAAAGTCATCAGCAAAAGCACAGAAAACTTCTTGATTAAAATAGCGGCAGTAGCTTTACATGGATGCCTACCCAATAAACGCAGTGCTCACCAACAAAGAAGCCAGAGTCGACGAGACACTACCAAACAGCTGCGCTTGCTCTTTAGAGTAGAAAGTCAATGCTATATAGCACGGGAGAATGCGCACCAACGAAGAAGCCCGAGTCAGCGAGGCACTTGGAGGAGGCGCGGGGGAAGGACACTTTTGAGGCGACTGAAAAAGTCACCAGCAAAGCACAGCACTCACTCACCAACGAAGAAACCCGAATCGGCGAGGCACTTGGAGGAGGCGCGGGGGAAGGCGGCAGCGAGGCGGTCGCAGTGCATGATGATGGCATGGCCGCCCGCTGAGCTGCCCGAGAAGAGGACGTGCGACGCCGTCCCCATGCCCTGCCGAGTGCGCAGGTCTGATATGGGGGGAGCGGGGGGGGTACGGAGTTTGAGGAGAGTTTAGAATTGGCTTGGAATACACGAGAATGTGGGAGGCCGGGTGGGCAACCTTACTTAAATGCCGCCCCATGCCCCTGTTCTTGCAAATATTTGGGTGGAGTGGAGGAAGGAAGGAGTACTAGGAGGTAAGGTTGAGGAATGTGAGCAACTCCGAATGTAAGCAACTCAGAATGTGAGCAACTCAGAAAGTGAGCAACTCAGAATGTGAGCAACTCAGAATGTGAGCAACTCAGAATGTGAGCAACTCAGAATGTGAGCAACTCAGAATGTGAGCAACTCAGAATGTGAGCAACTCAGAATGTGAGCAACTCAGAATGTAAGCAACTCAGAATGTGAGCAACTCAGAATGTGAGCAACTCAGAATGTGAGCAACTCAGAATGTAAGCAACTCAGAATGTGAGCAACTCAGAATGTAAGCAACTCAGAATGTGAGCAACTCAGAATGTAAGAAACTCAGAATGTGAGCAACTCAGAATGTAAGCAACTCAGAATGTGAGCAACTCAGAATGTGAGCAACTCAGAATGTAAGCAACTCAGAATGTGAGCAACTCAGAATGTGAGCAACTCAGAATGTGAGCAACTCAGAATGTGAGCAACTCAGAATGTAAGCCCGTGCAAGCCGTGTTCGGAGGTGCTTTCCAAGAGATGGAGAGGTGAGGTGAGGTTTCTTCAAAGCAACTCAGAAGACGGCTTCTGATAACAAATTCAGAAGAATGCCCTTGCATCCGTGCTTGTATGAAAATGCACAGTGGGTGTTGCTTTACCCCTCCCTATCCAGGGCCCCCCATGCCCCCCCACCCCTTCGTTTTTTCTCTGTCGTTACTCCCCCCTTCCCCGCCCCCCCCCCCCCCCCCTCTCCCCCCTTCCTCCCCTCCTTACCAGTGATAATATCGTCTAGAACCTGCCGCCCCTGCATGTACACAGATGCGCCCCCCCCCAGGTCCGCCCTCCCCCGCGTGCTGCTGTAGGCGCCACCATCACAGTACACCACCCACACCAGGTTCCACGCGTGGAACACGGGATTGGCTACGCTATCTTGGGATAACAGCCCCCCCAGCTGCGGATATTCCTCGGATGCCTTGTGGGGGGGGGAGAGAGGAAAGAAGGGTAAGCAAGAGGGGTTGGCTGCGCTGTCCTGGGATAGCAGCCCGCCCAGCTGCGGATATTCCTCGGATGCCTGGTGGGGGTGAGAGGGAACGAGACAGATGGGGGTGAACAGTTGGGGGTGTTTTTTTTTTTTTTTTTTTCGCAATACACTATAAAGCGTCTATACATCAACAGTCGTAGCTGGAAGGGGGCATGCGTGGGAGGAGGGGAGGCGGGAAGCTGGTGCGGAGGAGAGAGGAGGAGAGAGCACGCATGCGCTCGCTCAAGTTCTTCACCTTTCCGGCGCGGAAGAGGAAGCGTCTAACCCAGGGAAGAACAGCCGGGGAGTGAGAAGCGGAGGGAGAGGGTGGGGACTCCAATCACACTTTCCGCCAGGCGGGGAGTGCGAAGCGGAAGGGAAGGGGGGGGGGGGGGGGGGGGGGAGAGGGGGGGCACTCGACTCACATTTAGCACCTTTCCGCCGTTTTCAACGACGGCGGGGAGGCGCGTGGCCCAGAAGCGCGAGGAGCCGAGGGGGGAGTTAGCGCGATCGAGGCACTCCCCCGGGGAGAAACACCAGCCGCCTGTGGGGAGATGCACGTGCCACTTGCGCTTCCCCGCGCCCGCCCCCGCGCGGAAATAGCATGCGGGGGGGCTGGACGGCGGAAAGTGGGTGGGGGGGGGAGGGGAGGGAATGGGAGGGGGTTGGAAGAACCAAGGTCAACGAAATGAATCAGAGAGAAGAGGGAGTAGAGGGGAAGTATGACGACGGAGGGAGTGGCTATACGACATAGAAGGTCGAATCACTGTCTGGAAGCATGGTACGCAACGTATGCGTATTGGATTATATAAAAAAAAAGGAAAAAAGATACGCACCTCCCGTCGAGGCATTTTGAGGTGTACTTGTTACTAGGAAGGAAGACGAGACGTGTGGCGGATTTGAACCGGTTCGCTGGCTGCACCCCGCAAATGGCAAGGGGTAACGCGAGCGCGAGCATCAGCGGGAGGACTCTTCGTAAGGGGGAGAAAGCGGGGACAGCGGGGAGCAACATGACCGCCGCGGAGATTGGCGAAGAGATCGCCGAGAAAGTTATTTCTTTGAGTCGACTAAAAAAGCGAACTGATCGCCCGAGGAAGTAATTCACTAAAACTGTGGAGATCGCCGTTTATTGAAGCGCTTGGACTTTCGAGGTCCAACCCGACACGTGATTGGTCGCAACCAGGTCAAACGGGTCAAGTCAAGTCAAGGGGGTCAAGGGAGTCAAGCGAAGAGCTCCTCCGCGTCGAGCCGATGCGAGAGGTGAAATTGACAATAGCTCTCTCATCGCGTTCTTGCCGATCCCGCGTTTCCGCTGCGCCACATTAGTCTGGCCGAGTGTGGTTGAGTGACATGTTCCGCGTTCTAGTGCGGATCGATGCTTTGCGCTTCAGAAAATCTAGGAATAAAGGGTCAACGATCTCGATAACTACGATCGCCGCAGCTACCGTGCCCCTGTATGGCGAGTAATTCGGGGAACTGGCGAAACAACAACAGAAAATGGAGCAGAATCAGAGTTAGTTGGGTGGGCGGCGAACGAAAGCCGCAATGTTGAAGAGGTGGTGGTGGAAGGTAGGGGAAGTTGTAGGGGGAGGGAGGGAGGGATGGAGATGGAGCAAGACGGTATGACAGGGGAAGCTCGATAACACCAAAACTCCAGGTTTTGTTGGTTTGAGAAGGGGAGGAATGGGTGGGGTTGGGTATATCATCACTCAATGCATGAGCAGTGGAATGTGCGCAGATGCGACAGGGTACACCTTACCCTCGCCAATTTCAACACCTGGGCCCGGATCGCGTCCTTGTCGTTTTTCTCTGGGGTTGAAATTGGTCGGAACAAAAAAGTTCCCTCCAATTTCAACACCCTGACGGAAAAATTGATGGTTTTGAACTATTCTGAACATGTTAGAGCGTTTTCACTCGGTTCTGGGTGATTAGGTGATGTTGCTTGGACCGAACCGCGCTCGCCCCAGGACCACAGGTGACGACAAAGGGGTTGACATTGGTAGGGATTGAAGTAAGCGAGGGACAGGTGTACTATGAGCAAACTGTACATTTGCATCCGCGGCTCGCAAAATGTTCGACCGACATGTACCTCTACAGCGGGTTCTTTCAGTAGGAGCTGGATTTTTACCCTTTTTTGAATGAAATGTTGAGTTTCCATTTCTACTAGTGTCGAGACCATTTCTCTCGAAAGCAGGTCGTCGATGCTGTGGAATGTGCTGTACTTGGAACTAACAGAAAAGCGAAGGAAAATGTGGTGGTAGGAGGAACACTTCTCGATCCAAGTCGGAGTTGCAATAAACCTGCCCGAGCGTCAACACCTTGGCCGAATATTTGCAGTCGAGGGCGGTGCGACAAAATTTCGCTACTGGCGCATAGTGACTAAACGCGCTGATACTGTGCAAAGGGCCTCCATCAGGCTTCACATACAGGCTGAGTACAAATGAACACAAGGACTGAAAAATAGACCTTGACATAAGGACTGGAAACCAGGTTGAAGTGATTTTTGCCCTTCCCACAATTCTCACATTCCTGTTTTCTGCACCCTAACGTGCTCTGGTCTATTACATCGAATGAGGGTTTTGTCGCCGTAACTCTAGTTTGCGTTCTATGCGTAGGACCAGCTAGGAACGCGCCACTCCGTAGGTGTCTACCCTGTGTTCTCACTGTCGAGTCGAGTGACTTTGGCTGCGTAGAAAAGTGATGACAGTTTGACAGGTTGGTTGTAATTCGGCAAAGGCAATGACCCAGGGTTTCGGGGCGGGTGCTCGAGGCCACTTGTGTGTTAGAGTTACTAGCTAGATGAGTGAGTTCGATTAGGTAAGGGGGGGGTACAAGGACTATCGAGAGAGATTGTTGTACCCTCTAAGGAAAGAACCCTACACAACATAGAGTGAAATAAGCAGAACAATATGTTTTGACACACCCCCATAGGTGAAGTAGGGGATAGCCAAGCCTAACAGTGATCACAAGACCAGTCAAGCAAGAGAACAAGAAAGGCAAAGCCCAGGGTGGATCTCAAGGACACCACACAATCTGAGCACAAGCAGGCAGCCACAAGGCCAGTTCACATGCAGATTTATAAGAGCAAGGCAGTACACAGATCACAACCTAGCAAGAGGAAACATGCAGGCATAAAGATATATAGCAGTGTACAACAAGAGCAAGTCAAGCAACCAGCAGGTGGGGCAGAGTGGGCACAAGCCCAAGAGCAGTGCAGAAACGCTGATGATCACCAGCCGCAAGGGCCTTGGTGAAGACATCAGCAGTGTTGGCCCGAGAGGCCACGAAAGCAAGGCGCAGCTGACCACGCTGCTGCAGCTCACGCGCAAGGAAGTAGCGCAGAGCAATGTGCTTCGTTCTGTGCTCCAGTCTCTGTTCGCGACACAAGGCAAGCATTGCCTTGTTGTCGACGTACAGAACTGGAGGAGAACGAGGCCGCTCCCCCAAGTCGGTCAGCAGGTAGGTCAGCCAACGGAGCTCCTGTGCAGCCATGGCCCCAGCGTAGATCTCGGCCTCACAGCTGGAACCAAGCACAGAAGAAGAACGAGTGGACCTCCACGAGACAGAACCAGCGCCAAGACTGAAGGTGTAGCCCTGTGACGAACGCTGAGTCGCCTGGTCGTCAGCCCAAGAAGCGTCAGAGTGTCCTGTGAGGACCACAGGACCCCGTCCTCCAAGCACGAGCCCCATGCCCGATGTGCTGCACAAGTAACGCAGTACCCTCTTCGCAGCATCAAAGTGCACCTTTCGGTGCCTGCCGGGTGCCACGTAGCGAGCCAGAAGGCTGAGAGGATACGCGAGGTCAGGTCGTGTGCACGTCATCAGGTACATGAGGCAGCCCACAAGCTCTGGGTACGGACCACTCGGCTCTACGGACTCGTCCGAAGGTGGAGCTGAGAGCGAGTGGCCGGTAGCCAGAGGAGTGGGCTGTGGCGAGGAGTACGTGAAGCGGAAGCGCTGAAGGACCTGGTGCACCATGTGTGACTGAGTCAGGGTGATGGTGCGCCGTGCTCTCTCCCGGGTGATCTGCAAGCCAAGATAGCTCCGCAGCTCACCCAGGTCAGTGCAGGTGTGTCTCTCCTGCAGCTCCGCCTTCACTAGGGTCAGTGCCTCAGTGTCAGCAGTAGCAAAAACCAAGTCGTCGACGTACACGAGGATGTAGAACGGCGGCAGAGTAGTGTCGGTGCGTAGAAACAGCGACGGGTCAGCAGTCGAAGGAGCAAACCCAAGAGCCGCAAGTGTCGTCCTCAGTGTGTCGTGCCACTCACGGGGCGCCTGACGCAGGCCGTACACTGGTCGCCGAAGGCTCCACTGGGTACCCGCAGGAAACGACCCAGTGAAGCCCTGTGGACGGCGCAACCAGATGGCCTCGTGAAGGCTACCCTGCAAGAAAGTTGTCGAGAAGTCGAGGGAGTGCAGCTCGTAGTCACGCTGAGCTGCAACGTGTAGCAACACCCGAAGAGTGGTCATCTTCGGGGTGGGGGAGAAGGTCTGAAAGAAGTCGACCCCCTCACGCTGACTGAAGCCTCGAGCAACGTAACGTGCCTTGAAGGCAGGCGGAGAACCCGGCGGCCGCTTCACCCTGAAAATCCACATGCCACTGACGATGTTCGCCCCAGGTGGGGGAACCTCGTCGACGTAGGTGCCTGTGGACTTCCAGGAAGCCATCTCTGCGTCCATGGCTGTCTGCCACTGAGAGGAGTACTCACCCGAAATCGCCTCCCTGTAGGAGCGCGGGGTGGGGATGTCAAGTGCATCCGGGTCTCCTTCAGGGGCAAGCAGCATGGTCGCGTGATGGGGTGAAGCGGCAGCAAGGCACTCCAACTCCTCCTGTCTGTCCTCAAGAACGTCACAGCCAAGGGCAGTGCAGCCAAGAGCAGTCTCACCCCCGACGGACGGAGGACAGGCAGGGACAGGGTCAGAGACAAGACTCGCAAGGTAGTCTAGGCGGTACACAGCAGCAAAGTCAACGAGCTCAGCTACTAGGGCAGACGCAGCAGGAGACGAGAACGTAGGGTCCGTCACAACCGTAGCAAGAAGGCGAGTAACAGTCGGACTGGACGCACGAGTAAGGTCAGACGGAGGGTCAGCAACGTCAGGCAAATAAGACGCAGGAGGTAACGGTAGGACAACACGCTGAGGAACAGAGGAAGGACGGAGTGTCATATCGTGAGTGCCGGGGACAGCCGGAGCACGCTGACGACGAACACGAGGAACACGAGCACGGACAGCAGCTCTAGGCTCAGGCTCAAGGTCAAAGCTAGACTCAGGCTCTCGACGCTCAGGGGTGGAAGCACGAGTCTCAGGCTCTCGACGCTCAATCAGGGACTCTGACACCGCAGTGTAAGGAGCAGGAGCAGGCAGTGGGGAGTGTGGTAGCAGCGGCGGCTGTGACTGGTCCGCCGGTGGACACAGCAACGGAGGAGTAGTACCTGCCACAGGGAAGCCAGTAGCACCTGGCTGAAGACTGAGAAGGTGGCGAAGAGCACCAGTAGCTCCACCAGGACCTCCAGCACCTCCAGCACCTCCAGCCCCAGCAGCTTCGGCGCCTCCAGCACCAGCAGCTCTAGCAGCTCCACGACCTCCAGCACCAGCAGTACCTCCAGTACCTCCAGCACCAGCAGCTCCACGACCTCCAGCACCAGCAGCACCTCCAGTACCTCCAGCACCAGCAGCTCCACCAGGACCAGCAGCACCTGCAGCTCCCCGACCTCCAGCACCAGCAGCACCTCCAGTACCTCCAGCACCTCCAGGACCTCCAGCACCAGCAGCACCTCCAGGACCTCCAGCACCAGCAGTACCTCCAGTACCTCCAGCACCAGTAGCTCCAGGTCCTCCGGTAGGAGCTCCGACGACACCAACACCAGAAGGACTCGCAGCACCCCCAGAGTCAGCACTCGAACTCGAAGCACCCCCAGAGGCAGCACCCTCGGTCTCAGCACTTGCAGGCTCAGTACCCTCAGTCGCAGCACCCTCAGGCCCAGTACCCTCAGTCCCAGCACCCCCAGGCTC